GAAGTTGTAATTACAATGCAATTGGCTGAAGTCTTGCAAACAATGGAAGCTTGAGGACTTGAGCAAAATATCATGGTTGCACTGGCAAGATGACAAAAATTTTAAATCTATTCCAGGTCTCGAATATAGATGCCAGTATTGTAGTCATAATTGAAAGCAAGAAAAAAATTTAGCGTATTTACACGAAAGATAGATCACTTTATTGCTAGGTCAAGCTTATTAATACCGAGTAGAGATTAAAGCTAATAATAAAAGGATAGCTGGGATGAACAAGAGTAGACTCTCAAAGGTATGAAGACCAAGATGGTGTCGCTTTTTAGGTGGTCTCAGTCTCCTTTCGTTGTGTAGAGATTTTTTGACCATGCTTACGCAACTTGGTCATATTGGTAGGAAGACTTAGAGGAACGCACCTAGTCCGGAATGCATTGTATGCATGATAATTTCCAAAGTCGGAACGTTGACGCGGTACATTCCCAGACGTTTCGACTGCATCGTAGTAGGCATCGTCAGTGAGTCTTGCCATTCCCAGCACTACGCTACAACTCGTCAGAGACAAGTAAAGCCGATCCTTTGACCAAACGTGTGCTAAACAGTTGTGGTATCTTTCCTTCTGCCCTCGGCTATTCACATTTCCTATATCCTCGTATCACGCCTTCATTGTTATAATTTGTACCTTGCTTATTTAGATGTAGTTTGGTGTGCCCTTTTGAGCGGCGTTCATGAGAACCCTCCACACTCCACGCTCGCGTTCTCATGCCTCCTTCACTCTTGTTAATCGGAGTCTGCCATATTTTTACGCAGCTCTCCTTCCCTAGTCTGATCAGAGTCTCCGTCTTGTAACGTTGAATCCGTCTGCTATCTCCCTGGTTCAAGTATTTCACTAGACCTCTGCCGACCCATCTGTGCGAATAGAGTCCCACAGTTTGATTGACTAATTCGTGGCTAAAGCCTCTGAGTCAATCTCATGGTCAGGCGTTTGTTACATGGACCACGTCTATGGTAAACAGGCTTACGATAAGCCAACTATCTCGAGAAGTGGGTTGACCTCGTTGTCGTGACTTAGTTCTGTTGTCAGCGGGACTTAGCAGAACGCAACAAGTCCACTGTCAGATGCTAGGAATCATTATAACTACTATAACAGACGACTTCGAACTAGGTGCGTTCTATTAAGTCGCTATGACAATTGAGTGGAATGTAAATAAGTCAGAAATTGTGATAGGGCGGGAGTCGGATAAGAGGGTAAAGAATAGATAGATAGTCCAGGAGAGAAAGAGAAATGCCATTTTCGGCAGAACGTTTGTCGCGGTATAGACTTCACTTGTTTCTTTGACGAGTTCGTTGCTGGATGCGGAGAATGACAAAATTCACTGATGATGCCGACTACGATGCAGGCGAAAAGTTTGAGATGTATCAAGTCCATTGTTAGATGCTGTCGCCCTGACAATAAGACAAAATTACGACAACGAGGTCAACCCACTTCTATAAATCGAAAGGAGACTGTGACCAAACTAAAAGGCCACAGCATCTTGGTCTTCATATCCTCAACTATCTCTCCGCGGCGTCTATTCTGTTTCTATCCGTATGACTTGCTATGTCCTAGTCTCTTGTGTGCCAACCCACAAACGTAGTGGTTAAACACTAAACATAATTAAAGCAAGCAGTACCACAACATTTGTGGGTTAACACACAAGAGGCTAGGGTATAGGAAGTCATAGACTTTGTATTAGGAATAGAGACAGGGTAGACGAGGGGGCGATTGGAGCTAGTTGGCTGACAGATACCATAACTGTTTAGCACATGTTTGGTCAACTGATCGGCTTCACTTGTATCTTTGACGAGTTGTAGTGTGGTGCTACGAATAGCAAGATTCACTGACTATGGCTACTACGATGGGGCGAAATGTCTGGGAATGTTCCACGTCCACGGTACTACTCTGGAAATAATGATGCATACAATGGACTCCGGACTAGGTGCGTTCCTCTAAGACTTCCTACCAATAAGTCCAAGTTGCGAAAACAAGGTCAAACAACCCGGAGACTAGACTTTACTTGACTATTGCATATTTGTCATCATAAAAAATGTAGAAGCAATTTGGATAGAAAGGGATAGGGAAATCCCACATTTATGAATAAAGGAAAACAGAAAAATGATGCTACTCGGTATAAAAGAAAGTAAATGGTAAATACTATTTTACTCGAATGCCTGAAAGCCAACGCCTGAAGTGCTCAGTGAGTTAAGTGTCCTTTGTCTGGCCTCAGGGCCCGAAATTGACTTCTGAGAACGCGATGGCCTTGTCTGACCGAGAGGGAAAAACTGTGAAGAAGATGGAGAATCAGAATACTCTGATGGACAAGTCGTCAGTATCTTATTCGATGCACCCACAAGCAATGAGGATGCAGAGTATGGAGGAGATAGATCCGGAACAGTTTCTACAGCCGTCATGAAAAGATTTCCAGCGAGGTTGCCCTCGCAAGTGTCTCCTCCCGTTGAAAATAATTCAAATGCCCCTTCCCGACTCGCGTTTTCACTTTTAACCTCGGCAGTAATGGATGTTGGGTTGTAACAGATTATTTCATCAGCAAGACTAGTTCCAGTAGATGAATCCGCACCGGGCAAGATCGTATCGACTCCGCTAGCATCAATGTGGTCCGGTAAACGATTGCGAATGATTGCGAGCAACTCACCCTGTAGACTTTTTCGTGCAGATTCGCAATGCTGGCCCATGTCTATATGCAAGTAAGAATAAAGAACATATTATATGATAGCAGGATGTGAAGATAATTTCTAGGATAACAAATTAATATGATGATGCCAATTTACTTAAATATGCAACCCTATGTCAAGGGAAAGAGAATATAATGGGGTAGAAATTATACACAACGAAAAAACTACTGTTTTATGGAGATCAGGTTAGTGATAAAAGTTAAGAATACTTGAAAATAAAAAGTGTAGTAGCTTAATAGCACCCTAAGCTTAGCACCACAAATGAACAAATCGAGACTAGTAGCTGCATCCGCCCTCGCCAAATTCCTCTAGGTACCAGCTTTTGAGTCAGCTGGGAATCGAAAGTTATAATGACGATAGAGACTAATAAAACATCGGATCGACCGCACCGGAATTTCCGCAGTATCAAAAAACGAGTTTCATGTTTGCATGCATTTATTTTTTAAACAACCTATCTTTAATGTTGAAGTAGTCTTATTTCGTTTGAAGAGGTGGAAGGGATTCGTAAATTGGCCTCTCCGGAAACCGCAAGAATTCCTTGGAACAGTGACTATAGATCTGTGAGAATAAGTCCTGGGCTTCCCATTCCGCGACACACATGAATACTTGTTGAGCTCTTGTCCGACATATGACGGTCTTCATCAGAGCAGGATACCATGCTTCCAGATGATTACTAAGTCACGAAAACAAGAAAGGCTGTCGGCTACAATCCTACCTACTTGTAAACTAACTTCGTTCACTTATTAAAACATCTCATGATTTGGTTGGATATCCTATGCCTTTACTACACGCTAACTGTATTATTTTGATCATGCAGTGATAATGCATGTTTGCGTTGCAATGTGCTTGTGTTGTGTGCATGCAATGCTTGTGAATGGCGTGGAGTATGAAAGCAAAAAACAAGATTTTAGTCTAAGCAAACCAACTCGTCTTGCTGGGTGTTACTTATGGTTCTTTTTTCTCTAATCCTATCCACAGCTATGAGTAGTTTCCACTCAGTTTTATACACTCATTCCGTCTTTTCAGTGTTGGCAGTGTTGTTGATATCTATAGACTACCTAATCTTATACTTAGTAATATAACTATCTAGCGTCATCTATGAACTGTCTAAACTATTATGATTAGTGAACCTACAACCTTTTGCAGGCGGTTTTATGCGCAGTTAACCTCTTATGTATGGCCTCTTAGCAACGACAGAAAGCCTTATAAGAGCCGGATTTTAAAAAAAGTTCCGAAACTTTAAGAAAGATGTATAAACAAGTAAGCAATTATAAAAAGGACACAATAATAGTATAAGTATTCGTTTAGAGATAAATAATTTGCAACCAGTATCCACAAAATTAGGCAAACCTTCCCAAAGTAAGAGAATTTAAGCTAACTTAATAAAGTAGGGAAAGACAAAGACGCTAATCCAACAAGAGGTAAACCAAAGTCTAAAAAGCCAAAGAAAAAACAAAAGCTTACTGGGTTGCGGAATAGAGGTATAAAGCTCCTGACAGCAATTGCGAAGTCGATTGAGTTCCCCAGTCAGGCGCTTGTCAGGAAAAATAGAGAATTAACTTAATATATAAATCGGATTTATGAAAGAAGAAAAATGACTAAGTGATACAATATAAGTGTTAAATGGGGCAAGTAGGTATAAAATAAAAAACAAGGGTAAAATTGTGACTAAATGTGGTATCAATATATCGTTGAAGCATGCATAAAATATTTTTGAGGGGTTAAAACAAGCCAAAAGGTAACTTAGGAATTGTGAAGCCCATGTAACAATAAATTAAATTTAAATAAATGTTAAAGACACTATATAGACGAATAAAAATTGTCGTGTAAAAGGAAGCGAAAAAGATATTTAATCAGGGTAGACACATTAGGAATATAAATACAACAGATTCGAATTGCTACTAAATTAAGATGTGCAAGTTAAAAATAAACAAAGACAAAAGGAAAAATTAGGTAAACTAGCAAGGAATAAATGTATCCTTTGAATTTTAAATAATCAAATAAATAGATGCGAATCATAGAGAAGAAAGAGAAGAAATTACATGGTTATCATAATTTTAAAAAAAGTAGGAGTGAAGTGGCAATAAGATAAACGAAATGGAGAAGCAAAAAAAGCAAAATTCATATGAAATAACAAGTAATAGAGATAAGAATAGAAAAAAGTTAATATAAGGAATTTGAGAATGTCTATTCCTCCTGTATTAATTAATACTAAAAACACAGATATTTAATTACCTCGATTGCATAAGGTGATGACATTCCCCACAAAGTTATAAATAGGCTTCACGATGCCATTGAATTGCACCAGCATTTTATCACAATAGATATTATCATCCAGAATTGATTGCAGTTTCGACCTCGCTCGGGTAGCATCAGCAACCATACCCGAAAATCGAACTAAGGCCTGGCTTCCCCTTAAAGTCAAGTGTACCCTGTATCTCACTGACATCCATGACAGTATTACGTAGTAATGACATGTCAAAAACATGCGCTGCACGATCTGATTTCGATTCGTGAGTGGAGATCAGACCCAATTAAGGGAGAAACTACAATTAACCCTGGATTAGAATTCATTTTAGGGGGCAGGGCCAAGTGAAATTCATTGGCATTATAAGGCTTATCCATATAATTATGGGGAAATTCAACTACCAATCGTCAATTGAATATATGAAGATCAAGATGTTGTGACCTATTGTATGATCGTACTCTCCTTTCGATTTATTGAAGTGGGTTGACCTCGTTGTAGCAACTTGGTCTTATTGTCAAGGCGACTTAGTAGAACCCATCTAGTCCGAATTCGTCCGCCATGCGACCAGAGATAGGCGTCCAGTTTGCTTAGATAACATGGGTTTAATCAAGGAGACGACCAGTGTAGGGAAGGCCTGATATCTGCAAGCATGGGAATCACAGTTTAAGCGCTCCACTCAATGAAGCGGCAATGTATGTGCTTCTATGGCCTTGAGAAATAGCACCTGGAGTGAAATGTACACAGGGACTGGACCGAGTGAAATCAATCAACCAGAAAGATAAGGAACGGATCTACGAGACAATAAAAGGATCCGGATTGGAGGCCCGAATGGCATAAGCCCATCGTAAAAGAGGGGTCGGGGTAAATAGCAAGTGTGATAAGGTCACACTCGGTTTGCCACAAAAGGGCACACATTTTGATGATTGGAATCTAAACAAGTAAGAAGT